AAATTGTAAAATGCAAAAGAGAGATGGTCAGGGATCCCCCCCTCCCCCAGCTTACACAGAAAAGCAGCCCGGAATCGAGTCTCTCCAATTGAAAGGACTAGAGGAGGACCAGAGGTTGCAGTGGAGCCAGAGCTGCTTCTTCTGCTGCTGCAAAAGGAGCAGCAGGCACAGCCGGGACGCCCCCCCGCCAGATTTCCCCATGTCCAACCAACCAAAATATTCTGGCTACACCCTTGATGACAGCACTCTGGGTCTTGTAGGTTGGGGAAAATTAACATTATTAAAATGCCCTTTTGAATTTTCAGACATTAGCAGATATTTGGCTAAACATACTTTGCCATTACAGACAAAATTGCACATCCAGCAGAGGATTGCTCCAGTCAGTCTTCTGTGGGATCCACTATCAGATTTCAGACCGAAATTTAGAGCAAAGGTTTGATTTCTACACATACACAGCATTTGAATGAGGGAGATAATTAGGACTGGTCTTTTAGCTAACTATTCAGAGTAAACTGATACGCTCATACAACATTTGAGGAACACTAAGAGGCATCCAACATAACCTTTTCTCCAATAATTAAATTAGAGAAATGTTTCAGTCTTTGAGAAACTGATTAAAAGTATTAAAAGATAATCTCTCCCCCTCCTTTTTTATAATTTTGAGATAACCAGAAACCTCATGGATTCCTAGTAATGCTATTCTTCTCTAGAAGAAAATGTAGTAAATTCCTTCAGACTGACCTACGCAACAAAGTATTTCAGTCTTCTAATACAACATTGTGCCTAACAGCAAGACCACAAGAGAAGAAACATTTAGCAGTCCAAGAAAAGCAGGATAATCATATATAACAGATAAAAAGGCCAGCAATCATTCAAACAATTGAAAGTGAAAACTGGAATCGAAAAAAAAAGATTTCATTTTTTGTAGCAGTATTCATATGCAAAAGGTAGCATAAATAATCAACTTTATTGTAGTAGCGAGGTCTTCCTTTCAGATAAGGTATACTGAACGGCCCAACGCTTTGTTGAGCTTTCCAGCCATGTGAATCACAGCTCTTCTGCTAAAATAGATCCATAAGCATAATCATTCAAAAGGATTTCATACATCAAGAAATGCATTGGGCAGCATCTTTAAAGTGATGCTAATAACTCACTAGTTTAGCTACCAACAATAATCAAAAAACGAAAGGAAAGGGATACAGAAAAGCTCTAAGGTCATATATGGAACAATCAACTGCAAAGAATCCCAAGCTGAAGGATAGCACACATTAAAAAGTTAGCTTTTCTGCAGCGTTCAAGTTGACCTGTACGCAAACCCTGTTTCACTTAGCTCAGTGATGGCGAACCTTTTAGAGACCGAGTGCCCAAACTGCGACCCAAAACCAACTTATTTACTGCAAAGTGCCAACACGGCAATTTAACCTGAATACTGAGGTTTTACTTTAGGAAAAACAACTCATACATTAACTTAAGATGATCCAAACAAAGTAAGGAAAGCAATCCCAAATGCTTTCATTTACTTAAAATTATTTGGCAGAGAATTCGACACTTTAATGATGGTCTGGGCCTGGCTGGGGCGATGGCACGCGTGCCCAGAGAGGGCTCTGAGTGCCACCTCTGGCACCCGTGCCATAGGTTCACCACCACTGACTTAGCTTAACCTTCTTTTCAAGAAACATTACATTTTAAAACAAAACTGAATAGCAAAGTAAAACTTTCAAAAGGACTTTCTAGAACAACAAGCAAGTCTGTTTCTTTAGCAAGCACCATGGGCATATGTCTCTCCCAGATGGACAACGATACCAATTCAGGTCCATCTGTTAATCCACTTTTACATCTTCGTTCTTCAAAGACAGGTCAGAACATTCACTAGACATCTTCAACACAATGCTGTAGCCAGAGGTCATTTCGGGGGGAATCGCGGGGGATCGCAGTTCCCCCGGGTGAGGTATGGGGGGCGGGGCACATGACGAAGCCCCGCCCCCTGCTTCCGGCCGCCCCGCTTCCGGCCCTCATTCAGCCAGGAGGAGGCAGGAGAAGAGGGAGGGTAAGTTGCTTCCTCCCTGCCTCTCCCCACCCCTGCCTGCCTGGGGCCAGGGAGGGCCTTCGCGGGGCTTCCTTGCACTCCCGCCGGCCTTGCAGGTCCACCGCCGGGCCCCTCATGGGGCTCGGCAGTGGAGCTGCAAGGCCGCCGCCGGCGGCCGGGACTGTTGGGGGCGGGGGGTGTGGCCTTATGACACACTTCCGGTGATGTCAGGGGGTGTGGCCTTATGACACACTTCCAGTGATGTCAGGGGGTGTGGCATATGCTAATGAGTTATGCTAATGAATTCCCCTAGCTCTTTTTCTACGAAACGACCCCTGGCTATAGCTAAGGAAAATCTATCACTTCTTTTGGAGAACATACAAGGTAATTTTCCACATGAGGGTAATTTCCTGTGGTTTTCCCATTGCTGCTGTGCCTACTGATTGAATGCAGTGGCAATGTGGCATCTATATGGTGACTTTCCCTGCATTTTTCCTGTTCCAGCTAGGGTTACCAACTCTTGGTTGGGGGATTCCTGGAGATTTGGGGGTGGAGCCTAGGGAGGTAGGGTTTGGGGAGGGGAGGGGAGGGACCTCAGCTGGGTATAATGCCACAGAATCCACACTCCAAAGCAATTGTTTTATCCAGGAAACCTGATCTCTGTAGTCTGGATATCAGTTGTAATTCTAGATCTCCAGGCCCCACCTGGAGGTTGGCAGCATGACTAAAAAACCATTGGTTTCCTTCTGTGTCTTCTGTGTCCTACACATCTCATTTTCAATTGTAGATTTAATTTATTTATTCTGATTAAAGAAAACAGAGTATTCACTTCATGACAACTTCATGACATGTCACTTCATAACAACTAAAAGTAATTAAATTCAACTCATTTGTGTGCTTTGTCAAGATGCCAGCTACTTGTAGTTCTATAAAATGCATAGTACCCCCAACCGCATGTTGACAAACCTTTCCTTCTTTTCATAAATTAAATTAAGCATGTTGACAACAGCCTATATAAGTAAAACAAAAGGGGGGTCTCACCGCCTAAAATCAAACCTTCAAGGACTATGAACAATGCATTCCCAGATGCTGGATTTCAAAAATTATCAGCAAATCACAAATTTTACAGGCAGAACATTAAATTTTAAATACAGTTAGACAATTGACAGGTGATTTTTTTTCCTTCAGAACATTTATATTTACTGAGAAAAGCTGGATCTCTGAAAGAACCTGGAAGCTACAATAAACTACTTCTCTTGCAGGTACCAGCCTGTTCTAATTTGTATACACCACACTGCACCTGAACTTTGATCCTCTATTATCCCCCCCCAGTACAGAAACTGTAGGCAAAGGATGGTGGAAAGCCTCCAGCAGTTGTCCAAAGGGGTTTCCTCCACCTACATGGATGAAAGCCCTAGAAGCAGGGCCCCCTTTAATTGTTGCCAGGTCCCTAAAACTCTAACCAGCTATGAATCCATCTTATTCCTAGTGCGTAGGAGGAGTCTACAAGTTAACACATGGTACAGAGTAGACAGTTTGTTCTAAGGAATATTGTTTCAGTTTTCCCATCTTTTGACCTTTAGGCATATGGAATTTTTGGCAAGATCAAACTTTTCATTTTAAAAAAGCCCAGTGTTTTTCAGGGGAGCATCATCTCACCTTTGCAGCGATGATGTTTTTAGAAAGCCAAATGGGATCCCCCCACCCCTAAGTCAGGCCCTTCTGAAGTAAGCCAGGAACCACAGCTCCCTGTTGAAAAGCTAGGCAGTAATCTTCCATTGTCACCTCGCCACCACTCTCTCTCTAGTCATCTTAGCTCTCGTTTCATCTGCCATATTTCCAAGGTATACCATGGAGCTAGTTTAGTATAAGGGTGGGCCACCAGGGAGTGACCTCGTCAATGGCTTCGGAAAGACAAGAGTAGCAATCTTCCACCAGCACATCCAATGGGCCACCAGAGGGAATCGGATCCCACAGAGCTTCCTGGAACCTATTAAGGTCCATTTGACTCCGCGGGCGAGCATAAATTCACTCATCACCTAAACAGGGAGGGTTAGGGATATCTAGCTGAGCCTTCAGGGCAGGATGGTCTGACCATGGAACTGCATCAGCAGTAATCCGGTCTACCAATCTGGTCTTGAGCTATCAGTGCTCTCCTGGCAGATTTGGACTCTCACTGCACTCTCCCTGAGTCAGACATAAACTGAACTATCTCCTACAGTGCTCCTCTCCAACATTTCCTTCCGCTTCTGAAAGGTGATTAGATGCTAAAGCAGCATTATCAAAGGCTCCGCTGAATGGCTGTTTTCCCTTTCAGGAGCAGGATAGCCTCCTGTCCGTCACATCCCTTAAACATATTCTTTGGGCATGTCCAAACATTTGTGGGGGGGGGGGTTTCTGGAAAGAAGTTATTACTCAGATCAATTTTGTATTAGAATATTCACTGATATTTGAGGATGCTTACATACTTTTAAACTATCTGCCTGTCTCTTGGAGGCTAGCTGCTGGTCAATGAAAATGGTCCCTCCATGACCTTACTACAGCTAAAAGAGTCATATTACAACACTGGAGAGATAAATGCCCAGCTCTGGAAAATCAGTGGATTGAAGACCTTAGAACTCTATCAGTATTTGAACACATGGCATGTAGAGAACAGTTGTACATGGATTTATTTTTACAGAAAATTATGTGTAGATCTGCTACCACTGTTGTTATAGTTTATCTCTATTTTATGTATAGCTTTTTTTCTTTTTCTTTTTATGCTACTCATTTGCTGGATTTTGATTTTTTTTCCCCTTGTCCTTTTTTCTGTTTTTTTAAAGAAAAAAGCTTTTTGAAAAGGAAAGTGTGACAGAAAGAGGTATACCAGCTCTATCTTTAAAGTGGAGAAGGGGATGCAAACATGCTACACGGACAAACCCATGGCATTTTAAAATTGTATCACCGAGTTATGAAGTAGGCTATTAACACTTACATTTCATTTGCTTGCAGATAGACTTGTTGGGTTCAAGCCAGTGCTGAAAAGGAAGGACAAAGATCAGAAGAGTATTCATTTATCTATTATCACAAGACTTTCATACTAGTTGTGATTTTCTTTTTAGTTTGTTTTGCCGGTTTCAAAGGGATACCCATAATTCTGTAAGGATAGGTGAAAGGGAATAGTACCTGAATGTGAAAGACTTTGTTAATAAAATCACAGAATACACATATATTTGTGTATGTTCATAGTCTGGACGGAAGAAAAAAGGAATGGGTATACTTTATTATGGAGTGAAGTGAAGTTTCTGTAGTGAAAGAGAAAGTTTCTAAGTACAGTCAGATGGCTAAAACTACCTATAGAAAAGATCTTACAGCAGACCCCATCACTAAATACAACAGGATGTATGTCTAGAAACTTTATTTACTAATAATGTTGATAGCAGAGGGAGCCAGTTAGAGAAAAGATGCACTGACACAAGTTACAAGAGGAAAGGACAGACAACCCACAGGTAATTAATCTTTCCACAGTACAAATGACAGAGGTGGAACTTGCAATATTAAGGAAAGGCCTGTCTTTTATCCCTACACCTCCATGCAACTCATTTCAGCTTATGGTGGAAATTCATAGCATGTTTAGAAAAATTAGGTGGGCTGATTTAAAAAAAATAGTATAGAGGACAGAGATATAGATCCTAAAAATAAAAGCTTAAAACCCAAGTCTACGTTCAACCCGGCCACTAAAAATCCTAGATTATTAGCATTTCAAGAATTGGTGCTAGAACAAATACAGGAATTAGAACAGAAAGTTATACAAGTTTGGCATAATTTGAATAAAGTAGAACATCAAGCATTAAAACAGTTAGAGCAGAGAAGCGATACTATAATTAAACCAGCTGACAAGGGTGGGGCAGTAGTACTGTGGGGCAGAGAGGAATTAGGGCTGCCAAATCGGGCCGGGGGGCGGGGAATCCCCCGCTTCCGCTGCCCGAGTTCCGGCGCAGGGGAATTCCGGCCCGGGGGGAACCCCGCCCCCCAAGCTGCGTCACTGGAGGTGACGCAGCCACATTGTCAACGTTGGGGGCGTGGCTGAGCTCGTCGGAGGGGAAAACCATATGGTTTTCCCCTCCGACGAGCTCAGCCACGCCCCCAACGTCAGCACGTCGCCCGTCACTCTACGGTGAGTTAGTGTGAGCTAGCTCACAGTTTTTTAGCCTTCGGCTCACACGTTTTTGTCTTAGCTCAGAAAGGGTGACTCCAGAGCAAACTAATTTATGTAGCCAAATCACTCGCTCACAACTTTAATGCCAGTAGCTCACAAAGAAGAATTTTTGCTCACAAGACTCCACAGCTTATGGGGAACTTTAAGACATGTAAATAATCCACAAATGTAAATAAAAAGAGCTGTTTTAAAACTAGTAAAGAATCTGTTATATCTGAAGCAGAAATATTGGACTAAATCACCAAAAAATTTACAACTGTTGGCCTGGAGGGTAAAAAAAAAAAGGAACAAAGTTGTGTGGGGTCATTAATTAATGGCAGAGGGGAGAAGGAATACACGGCAAAAAACACAGCACATTCGTTTGCAGAATTTTATGCTGAACTTTATAAGACTAGGGTTCCAAAACAAGAGGAGATAGAGCTTTTTCTGGATAAGTCGGTTTCATTACCAGTCCTTGATCAACAACGGCTGCGGTCACACGGCACAGTAGCCACGGTAGAGAGACGGAAGACAAGCGGATTATCCAGGCGCGATCTCACCGGCACATCTGGGAAGCGTAGCGCTCCCGTGGCACAACAGAGGCTTCCCAGCAAAGACGCGCAGCAAAAAACTAGTACCTCGGAGGTACTAGTATCCGGAAACCACGGGGCAAGGGCGAGCGTCTGATCGTGTTTCCGGAGGTAGGTCCGGCGCCCGCCCATGTCCTCTAGCTCAAAGGTGGTTTTTTTCAAGTCTCCACGGTTGCGCACAAGCACACAACGAAGCATGCGCAAACGTTCGTTTAATAAAAAAAAACACACAACTTGAGTCATGCAGAGAAGAGGAGAGCAGCCAGAAGAAAGCAAGAGCGAACGGCGGGAGGCTAGCGACAAATAGATAGGGGAAAGGGGGCAAGGCAGAAGATATAGCAGCGGCTGAGACGAAGCCCAGAAGTGGGGGGGTGCGGCGGCAGAGTAGGAAGTCTACTTGGGGAGGGGGGGCACAGCTCAGGAGGGCGGCACCGTGGCCCCGAGGACAGGCGAGCGGAGAAGGAGGCGTGGTCAGGGCGGAGGGGGCTGAGCCATGCTGCTGTGCCCTCTTCGTGCGCCCCACCAGACGGCTCCCGGGACTGCTGGTAGTGACTGTTGCCCGTTCAGATCTACTGCCCACCCCCTGCCTGCCTCCCTGGAGTCGGCAGCTGGCCCCTCCTCTCCCCAGCGTCGCTTGGCCAGCTGTCTCTGGCAGCCCCCTCCTCGCCTTCCCTCGGCTCTCGGCCCCCGTTTCTTTGCCCCGTGGCCCCGCTTCTTTGCTGTGTGATCCGCACCTCTCCCTATCCACGGGACCGTCACAGAACCTCCACGGGACCTCCACGGGAAGTCTGCTCACGCACTCGCGCATTATTTTTCCTCGGGGCAAACAGCCACGCTTCCCCCCCGCATTTTCCTGGCCGTGTGACCGGAGCCAACATGTAGAGATGATGGATGAGCGAATTTCTCCGCTGGAACTCAAAGGAGTAATGAAACGTCTCAAAAACAACAAAGCCACGGGCCCAGATGGTCTGCCTTCTGAATTTTATAAGGCTTTCCAAGATTTCCTGTTTGATCATCTCCTGGACTTGTGTAATGATGTCCTGTTAAAGGGAGTCATGCCCAATTCGTGGTCAGAGTCTACTATTTCGGTGATACTCAAGGAGAACAAAGATCCATCCGCCCCTGAGTCCTATAGGCCTATTGCTCTTCTCAACCACGACAATAAAATACTTACTACTATTATGGCAAATAGACTGAAGTCCATCATTTCGAAATACATTAGCCCAGACCAGACAGGCTTCATCCCCGGCCGACAGATTACAGATAACATCCGGAGGACCTTAGACATTATAATTCATCAAAGAACCACAAAGAAAGAGGCACTGATTCTTGCCCTAGACTTTGAAAAAGCCTTCGATGTCTCTCTTCAAAAAAATGGGTTTTGGAGGTAACTTTCTAAGAGTCATAACGGCCATATACTCAAAAAATATAGCCAAAATAAGAGTGAATGGCTGTAGATCTTCCTCATTCTCTCTTACAAGGGGAACAAGACAGGGGTGTCCGCTCTCACCTTTGATTTTCGCACTCGCGATAGAACCTCTGGCAGGACAACTTCGAGACAATGAGAGCTTTTCAGGGATAACGATTGACAGACATGAACATAAAACGAGTCTGTATGCAGGCAATCTCACGTTATATGTATCCAACCCACTCAAATCCATTCCTTACATACTTAGCATACTACAAAAATTTAGCAAAATTTCGGGGTTGCGAATTAACTACACTGGTTGAGCCAGAGTCGGAAGAGGCCCTTCATGACCTTTGCTCCCTTAACTGGGTGCAGGAGGTCTGGAGGCATTTAGGGGTAATGATTCCAACTAATCTAAAAGACCTGAGCAAGTTCAATTATGCTGCTTTATACCTAAGAGTCAAGTCGGATTTCAATAACTGGAGTTCCCTCAAGTTAACTCTACCAGATAGATTGCACCTTGTCAAAGGTTTTGTAGTCCCAAAATTTATTTTCCTCTTTCGGGCTTTACCAATCTTTATTACCAAGAAGGAGCAGCAAACCTGGCAAAAATCCCTGATGAACTTATTGTGGGAGGGGGAAAAGTCAAGAATAAGCGGTATGATAGTACATAGGACGACAAAATTAGGAGGTCTGGATTTCCCCCTACTACATCTATATCACAGAGCAGGTGGTCCAGTGCCAATACGAGGATGGTCAACAACTTTGGAGGCAAATTGAGTCAACATACACGGCCCCTTATAGTATTCAAGAAGTCGTCCGGATGAAACCCTCTGCCAGACCAAAGAAAATCAAAGAAAACTTCCTACTAGCAACGAGCATAGCAACTTGGGATAAAGCTAAGGACCGCCTTCCTATAGGGATTTCCCAGATGGCCACATTTACGGGGCAGGAATGGTTTCAAGCAGTACTACCCCCACACACCTTCGAGGACTGGAGAACAGCGGGACTTAATAGACCGTATGACTTGGTAGATAAAGGAGTAATTCGGGACAAACAATACTTCAACCAGAAAATAGGGAAAAGAGTACCATGGTATCAATATCTGCAGTTGAGAACCCTCATCGACCATCTCACTGAATTGGGTACCTTCAGAACTAACAACTTTGGAAAAAATCATTAAACTTTATCCCAGTTGCCCGAAAGGCATAATATCCAGAATATATAACGTGAGCATTTCGGAGGGAGATCATCCGAGACTTAAGTGCCAACTTCGTTGGGAGGAAGATTTATCGGTCTGTTGGGATGAATCAGATTGGGAAAAGGTCTGGTCCTTGCCGGCGAATCACTCAAACATCTATAATATCAGGCTGCAATTCTTTAAATTGTTTTCAAGGTGGTACATAACACCTTACAAACTACAGAAAATGAACAAGAACAACGATCCACGCTGCTGGAAAGGTTGTGGGAAGATCGGTACCTACTTACACTGCTGGTGGGATTGTCCAAAACTAAGTGATTTCTGGGACGGAGTCCGAAAAGAGATCACAGAAATAACCTCGTTAGATCTTAATTTTAAGCCTGAAGTTTTTCTACTGAACCATTGGAGTATGGAAATGGATGCCAGGAACAGGGAAATAATTTCACTGCTTCTAGCTACAGCTCGCCTGACAATAGCAGGCGTGCTATCGCCTGACAATAGCAGGCATGAGAAAATATGGGATCAGTTCGTGATGGCCAAGATAGCAGACAGGATACATAGAGCTCAAACCTCCCGGTCTTCTAACCTCAAATTTGAATCAACCTGGTTCCCAATTTTCTCATTTCTTACCGCACAGGATA